AAACTTTATATATATTTTTCTACACAAGTAACGCTTTATTTTGCTTCGCATTTTTTAGATTTCGAACCAACTCGTATATAACTCGCGAAGAGAATTAGTTCTGAAACCGTAGCTTGTAACATTTCGTCAATAAACGAAACACCCTGAGTAAATGAGTCTGCAATCATAGACCGCAGCGGTAATTTCGAACTCGAAAAAGATCTCGATCTAATAGTCTAATAATAAGGTCTAATACTATTAATTAGTGTAACATATTATTGTTTCTTTTTCAGGAATCACAATGCAAAGCCATGATACACAAAAAGGATGCATCCAGGTGTCTTTAATATGAATATTTTCAGCCATTTTTGAATGCAGTAGTAATCAAGAAAACTTTCCTTATTCAAAACTTTTTTAATGTAAAATATTTTATATATTTTATTTGTCGTATCTGAATTTTTTATGTTATGGTAAAATGTTGATTACTAGATGTTTTTTACTTATTAAAAAATATAAAAAATGACGCATTTAAAATGAAATGATGATAGGTAAATCTTTAGTTACGACCGTTGGCTGTTTTGGAATTTGATATATGCAAATGTTTATCATCGTGGGCCATTGGTTTTTGGGAATATCATATTTTGAATTTCATTTAATTGATTAATTGGCGACCATTTTCATAATGCAGACAACAGGGTTTTTGGAGGGATGTCACACGTCACAACATTCCCTGCAGTGGTTGCACACCAAGCACCACATTGCAGTCAAAAAGGTTTCTGGAGGGATGTCACGCGTAGCAACATTCTCTGCAATGGTTGCACACCACATTGCAATCAAAAAAGGTTTCTGGAGGGATGTCACGCGTAGCAACATTCTCTGCAATGGTTGCACACCACATTGCAATCAAAAAGGTTTCTGGAGGGATGTCACGCGTAGCAACATTCTCTGCAATGGTTGCACACCACATTGCAGTCAAAAAGGTTGTCACATGTTGCAACCTATAATTTCGGCAATGCTTGAACTATGTAACCATTGCAGGGAAGGTGCTATGTTTGACATCCCTCTACAGTTTCCTTTTCACCTAAACTAAAGTACAATCGTTTCACCTTCCAGTCACCAGTATTATGCAACCTCGGTGTTCCAATCTTGCAAAGAGCTTATACTATCGTATATCTACAAGAGGATTAGACTAAAACTAAGAAAAAACATTTTCCACATAGCGTCATTGACGTTTGTTTAAACAATCTAACAAATACATGCGCAATTTCTAGCCCTCAGGTCATACACCTCACAATAGGTGATGACAGCCACGCCTAAATGGTTTATCTAATGACGTCATTTGGCTGGAAGGGGATGAGAAAATCCATAGTCAATTGATTGATTTGTGTATTTTTCTCCAGTTTATTTTGTTTTTACTGAAAAAGTTTAAAATGGAAGCTGTCATGGATCGAGCATTTTTTACTTCTGCAAAGCTCTTTTTCTTGCTCTTTTTTCTCGTTACGTGAAATCTTTCCCGGCTTCATGACAACAAGCTTTTACGAGTGCGAATGAACAAGACGAAATAATCAAGTTTGCTTGCAATTACTTTTATATGCAATTCTTAAAACAATTTTCCTTAATTTCCTATATGTTATTAACGCTTTCGATGAGACTTTGGTTCACTGATGCACGCTAGACTTCGGCTGAAACATATTCGTTCCTGCGAGGACCTTTTCCATTTATTGATAAACGAATAGCTTCAATTTGGCAATTCTCTGAACAATACATTGACAACAGATGAGTAAGGATTATTTTGTTTTTCAATTTTCTTTCCTTTCTATTTTTGCCGTCAGCTTAATTTGTACTTTTAGTTAAAGTTAATTAAGCTTTAATCAAGGCCAGAATAAACATACATAATTTGTCGAGTTTTATTTGAGTAAAAAATATTTTTTGACAGTGTTTTCAACATGGGTCATTTATGTAAACAAGTCTTCTGTGACATCAGTTCAGACAAACAGACCACATTTCTTCGAAGTTCTTTGCGTAAGCTTGGATACTCGTTGGATTTGCTTCTCCAAAACAATCTTCTTCATTTAGTGGCCATATTACGGGTGAGTTAAAGCACTTTGAGTACTTTTGATTATTTCTCAAACGTTTTACAAAGCTTGCTTGAAACTTTTTTTTTAAGTTACTAAATCAAATTATTTCAGAATAATAATCAGTAGAAATCATAGAATATAAATTATTTTGAAATTGTCAAAAAATTTCCCGAAGCTTTTTAACCCCATTAAAGTTTATATCGTGTGTTTCTGGCTGGAAACACACGATATAAACGCATTCTAATTCCAAAGGTTGACTAGTCGTAAAGAGAATTTAAAGATGTATTTCAATTATTTTATGTGAATTTAATATTCCTCAAGCGTTCATCATGATATTCCTAGTAACGTCTTGTAAAACGTCAGCCCGAAAAGAGTATTTTAACATCGACTGAAAGGAAAGATTTCCCCGTAGTTCCCTTCTCCCAGAGCTTTGTTCACTGTCTCCGGGTTTTCTTATCGAAGGGATCACAAATCTTATGTTACTACATAGGGATAAATTATGACTAACTAAAACTTAAATCGTCATTTTGTGGAATTGTTATTTGAGGCTGCTGTGTCATGACCATAATTTGAACAAATGTTCAAACTGGTTAAAATACAAAGAAGTGATATAAGTTTATAAGTTTATAAGATCATAAATGCCTCATTCAATGCAGATTAAAGAGCTACAACCAAAGTAATAAACGAATTTGTCCAGCCTGTGTTGTGGATTTGGTTACCAACTCAGACACGTTTTTGAATCTTATGTAAACAATTAAGTGACGAATACGCCTTCCAATAGCACTCTATGAACACTTTGAAATTGCTTTATTAACTCGATATATAGTCGATAAAGATCAACCCGATACGTGTACCATCTCTTACAGTTTTTATCTCAATCTTAACTAGAAAGAATAATGGTACAAAGCCTTAAATCAGTTTGTTGGTTTGTGCAAACAAGTTGAATCAAGTTAGGCAATAAGCAAGCCTTTGTGTTGACACCATGGAATATTTACTAAAAATAAGATGCCTTTTATTTCTTTTATTGCCACTACTGTCACTCAATCCAAGAATACAGAGTTACAATTAATAAGTATCTATTGGCACGTTGGCAATGCAGAGCTAGTTCATTATCTATAGCGGGTAGCTTGGGTGGTGTAAGCTGGCTTAAAAGCGTCGTCTTTCACAACTGTGGTTCTAAAGGTTCGAGTCACTGGTTCGAGCCCTGCGGACACCACATGTGAATTGAGTTTGTTTGACGTGTTGTTCTCTCCTATGCTACGAGGGTTTTCTCCGGGTTCTCCGGTTTTCTCCACTAAAAATCAATGTGAGTCGAGTGTCGTGTACATAGAATATTGAATGTAGTGGTAGTGCGTGTGAGTGAAAAGTGTCCCCAATTAGTGCGAAAGCACTAGAACGACTAGACACTTTAAATAGAGGGATTTATTTATTTTAATTTTATTAAACTCATATAACGGCGGATAATAGCATCTAAAGGCTTTATAATCTTCTGTTTAGATGCTGAGAGGATCAATAACATAGATCATCATGATCATTCAGTAAACAGCTGATGAAATATTTGATATTTAATGTATAGATGATATGACATGGGCGCTTGGAGATACGAAATTTATCTTCGAGTGGAGAAAAGATCTCTCACGAGTGAGCGCAGCGAACGAGTGAAAGATTTTCAACACGAGAAGATAAAATTCGTATCTCCAAGCGTCCATGTAATATTCTGTTTATTATATAATTATCAATGAAGTATGTTTTGGCTTTTTCAGGCAATTCTTTCCGTGTATTTTTGAATAGCCATCGCAATGGTGTTATTTTCACACGTGAAAATAACATTTTATTTTCACGTGTGAAGATATCAATTTTTCGAAATAGAGAAAAATAGATATTTCATTGGTGATTATATAATAAATATAGGTATTTTATGGATAATTATATGATAAAATATAATATTTTATGTTTTATATATATGTACACCTACTTGCAAGAAGGTTGTCATACAAGAATAGAACATTAGTAATTTAGTGAGAAAGGAATACATTAAGAGACAAAAATGAGAAAGAGTTCAGCATCAGTGTTCCTCTTTTGTTTTTTTATATAATTCCTATCCCACTAAATCACTAATGTTCTATTTTCATATGACAACGTTCTTACAAGTAGGTGTACACTTGATCGCCGAAAGGTTGTAGTATACATTTATACATATATCTAATGAGATGCAAGATATCAAATGCGTTGCAAAACTTAAATAGTAACTTATTTGGTCTTCCTTCTATTATATCAGAGACATACACATTGCACAAACTCAAGTTAAAAAAAAATACTTTCCACAAAATGCTGTGGCTAAGCAATCGTATTTAAGCATGTTTTAAATTCTGCATCTCATTTGATATCTTGCATCTCATTAGATATTTGTATAAATGTATGTAAGAAAGCTAGCGTGCCTCAGTTGGCGTGACTTGGTCATATTGTCTATCTGAGCAGATTTTGTTCATTTGTACTTCAATAACTACCTAAAACATGAATTAAACAAACTACATCGTTTGAGATGTTATAAATCTAAATTTTTCTCGCGATTTTAATAGCATGTACGTGTTGACCAAAATTTAACGCAAAACTCTCGAATTAACAGAGCATTATGCTTTGTTCATCGTAGAACGTCCCCTGAAGGCACGACTAGACATCAACAGTATCACAACATCGTCAAGTTGGTCGACATTTGGTTTTGATTGAAATATTGTTTTAATCTGCTTACATGTTGCAACAGTCATAAGGTTAAATATCTCGCATTATGACAATCATATGGCTGAGTTCTGGTAGACTCTGGTACTGAGGCTTAGAACTGGTGAAGTGATATCGTTTGTTAGACGACTGACCTTCCTGAATTTTCTTTTAGTGACCACCAATTAATTATTTTTTAGAAAGAATATCACTGAGGAAGACATTGACCAGTCATCATCCGTTTACACACGATGCGACCATAATTAGGGCCACTTTGTCCTAGTCGTCTAACAAACGATATCATTTCACCAGTTCTAAGCCTCAGTACCAGGTCTACCAGAACTCAGCCATATGATTGTCATAATGCGAGATATTTAACCTATGACTGTTGCGACAAGTAAGCAGATTAAAACAAGATTTCAATCAAAACCAAATGTCGACCAATGTGATACTCTTCATGTCTAGTCGTGCCTTCAGGGGACGTTCTACGAYRMACAAAGCATAATGCTCTGTTGATTCGAGAGTTTTGTGTTAAATTTTGGTCAACACGTACATGCTGATCAAATCGCGAGGAAAAATTAGATTTATAACATCTCAAACGGTGTAGTTTGTTTAATTCATGTTTTAGGTAGTTATTGAAGTACAAATGAACAAAAACTGCTTAGATAGACAAGATAACCCAGTSACGCCAACTGAGGCACGCTAGCTTTCTTAGTTGATAAGAGATTTTGGTGTGGTAGTCATGATTTTATGATAACAATCGAGAAAAATGCAGAGTCCAGTGGCAGAAACACCACAGTTTGAACAAAACACATGAACAACCAAACCTACTAAGTAACAAAGCAAGCGCAATCAGATAAACTCAACTAAAGAACTATATCTCATTGTGCTACTAGTCCTAGATTTTAAGATAACAAAAAGGCGCGAGAAAGATGTACAGTCCAGTGTTAGAAACACCATAGTTTGAGCAAGAATAAACGAGGAAAAAATAGTAAAGAAAAGTAACCACCACGCAAGCGCAATGGTGAGTTGACTAAGACTACGCATATCTTACTGTAGTAGTCCTTAGATTTTATGATAAAAACTAGTACTGAGAAAAACAAAGTACAGTCGCAAAAATACCAAAGTTCTAGCAGGAATGCTTGAACATTTATAAAATAAACAAAAAACTAACTAGCCTACTGACACTTGTCTTGTCCTCGAATATTATAGACCAACCATTAATTATTTTTTTAAAAAGAATATCACTGAGGAAGACATTGACCAGTCATCATCAGTTTACATGCGCCCATAATTAGGGCCACTTTGTCCTAGTTTCATAAGCTCCACATATTCAAAACTTTTAGAATTTGCACAACTCGTAGTTGTCCCTTAATTAAGGCTTTGTTATAGAATAAAGGAATGTAATAATCTGGTAATGGCTAGCAAATGAACAATTTGGGGCTGCGTGGATGTCGAACACTGATGACGAAAACAGTGAATAATTAAGAAAGAATTCAAAATTTAACACCGAGTAAAGGAAAGTTCGGAACGCAACTTACGTTCTGTACGTTAGTATTTTGTCAGCTATAAGTACTTGTACTGTACTTACTGCCCATTATGCCTGCTGGTATGTAGGACAGCAACAAAGGATGACAACCGTACCGCTGTCTGTTGTGGGTCAATTTCGGGACTGTGCCCCAGTCTTTTACTTTGTTGCTGTTTCCATACGTTTGTCTTACGGGACAGGGCTAGCCTTATGCACAACCCCCCAACCCTCTAGCCCGGAGGCGGAGGACCAAGTTAAGTAAAAGAGAATACATGAGGAAGAGTAGAGTTTATATCATGTGAGGAGTAAAAGAATGACCAAGATGAAACGTCACAGGCTGAGAACCAAGTCACCGTGCTGTTTTTGTTGTCGTATTGTATTTATTCTCCGACGACGCAAAGAAGTCCAAATATTTAAAATATTTTTTGATGGCTAGTCTAGATACTTAGGCACTAAGAAATAACAGTATTATGTAAGCGATATGCGGTAACATAAGAGCAAAAATATTCAAACTTTTTGGAGATCGTTATCATCCAGCTTGAAACACTAAGTGAGGCCAAAGGCG